TCTCTCACACAGCTCGCTGCCCGCCAACAAACTCATCGTCCGTGAAATTGAACACGGGTTGTGCGGGAGGGTTTCACGCACCTTGCATCGTAAACACAGCCAGACACCCCAAGATAACCATGACGGCTAGTATGAGCTGGAGAGCGAGTTTGGGGCCGAAATTGGATTTTAGCCGAGGTGTTGCGATGTGTAGCGTGCCTGTAAAGTTCTGCTGAGAGGGCGGGTTGAGAGCGGAACTGGCATCGCTATCATTATCACGATCATGATTGTTATTGCTATTTCCAGCAACTTGCCGCCGCCACCGTTGTTTGGTTTCGGGGGTATCCATTGGTTTGCGTAACGTAAGATTGATAACCTGCGTCATGTAAAGTCTGTAGTAATGGTTAACGACATCGAGGAGCTTATTTGCGTTTTCTGCGCCCATTAATAACTCAGGAGAGGTGTCACCGTATGGTCCATGTATGATCTCGTAGAAGATGTCGAATGTCTCTGGACCGGGAGGCTGACCTTTCTGCGATGTACCTTTACTGTGAGTTTCCAGTGACGGTCGAAGAGGTTCTTGCACGCGAAAGGAGAACGAAGAAAACCCGTTTGTGCCGTTGGTTAGCAGCTCTATCGGTAGTGTATTTTTATATTTGGGTGGATCTGTATGATCGACGAAGCCTAAATTTGGATCTCCAGCGAATGTAACCTCGGTAGAGATTTTCTGGATTTCTTGATTGCAGATTGCAGCCGTTATATTGGTTAACGACGTGTGGTTGGCACGCATATAGCCAAATGCGATGCCGACAGATGGACAGCCAATTGGATTGTCTTGCCTTTCCCATATATCCACTAGATGAGCGGGATCCAGCGGTGGAAGATATAAATCGAATAGAGAACCAACGTAGCCTCCGCCTGTTGAGAACCCTTCAACTTCCAGATAGGTAAGATTAAACTCCGCAATAGTCACATTTTCAGGTAGGGTGGCAAGACAGCTGGGTGGCAGCTTTGCGCGCACGGCTGCTGTGGTAATTGTTTGGTAGGTCCCTTGATGTGGCCCTGGCCCATAAGAATTGGCCAAAGAGATATCGTCTGCTGTGAGGAGTCTGCAATTCAATGAGGGCCTCAATGCTGGAAGAGTGAACGTATAAGTAATCGGACTCTTGGGTACGTATTCGTCCCGATCCACGAGCCCAAGGCGAGCATTCGGTGCATCAACGTGGATTTTTGGCAATATAAACTCATTCCACGTCCACGGCGGTGTGGTCAGGTTGTGATGTCGAAGGAGTCTTAAGACTAAACCAGCATTTCCATCATTGGAACTGTAGTTTTTCAATGCCACATTCCAATGGTCTGTTCGGTAAGCAATCGCAGAATGCGATTGACGGACTGATGGGTCTATATTCCATAAACCGGAAATAACAATAGTTAAAAAGCTGGCCGCAAATGCTGCAATTGTCGATGATATTGCGCCGATATGGTTTCCTCGCACTGCATCCCAAAGAGCAACCAGAGGGATTTTTCCAAGAAGGTGCGTTACGATGCTGCGTCCTGCTGTCACGTTGCCTTTGCGGAGAGCCTCGAATGGTGCGAACATGGCAACGGTAAAGTCTAGGTTATTATAAAATGTTGCAATGATAACAGCCACGACAGCACAAAGATACTGTGGAACATATTTCCATTTTGCCGAATGTATGGTCATCAATCCTTCATTACTATTTGAAAACTGTTGCATTATCTCAAGCGCCGAAATAGCAAGCATCGGCATAATAAATGTCAGGACGAGCATAGGCCTCCTTGCAGCGAGAGGCTTCCAGAATCCACTTGCTTCGACAACGTGTTCATCGATAGAGGTGATGCTTTCTCTCAGGTCATAACGAGCAGTGATCCTGAACGATCGGTAAGTAGAAGTTCTGAATGTATAATTTCGAAGTTTGTCTCCGATACCACGACCCGATAGATGACCAGCATCCTGTAGCAGTGGCTGAAGCTCATTGCTTCCGGCAAGAATCGTAGCTTGTGCTGCAATTGAGCCGGGATCTCGTGACGCAAACTCAGACGGTCGCGTGAAGAGTATAATTACCGTTAAGACCGACAAAATAACGAAACTTGCAAGCATTACCCAGAGCGAATGAATTGTCACGTGCAAGCGGTCCTCAATATAGACGACCTTTCCAGTAATATCCTCAGATATTGGAACGAGTAGATTTTGTTGCGCAAATTGGGATGCGATGCCACCGTAAACTCTTTGGAATGCTTTGTTCATGATCTCGCCGTCAAGAAACTTCTCCAACGTAGCTCCTCCTTCTGAGCCTTTAACCATTAGTTGAAATAGCGTGTTTACTCCATCATTTGAAGGTAAGGTTTCAGGCTGCGGATTGATAGGACGGAAAAGAAGAGCGCCTGCTTTTAGGGACTGAAAAACTGCCCCACTGAGTACCGAACTTGATATTCCATCTAAATTCACTATACTCAGACGCTCGTTGGGGTTTTGCAGTTGAATTCGAGGTATCCCCGAATCATAGTGTTCATACGTCAGATTCCTTCGCATGACAGTATATTGCGGTTTGCACAAAATTGTAGTTACTTGTTTCACATCCCGAGTCCAGTGTGAGATATTCAGCCGCGGGGTAGAGCTAGGGGTAAATTTTTGGGAGTAACGGATGTCCGAAACGGTGAGTAACCAACGAAAATCGCCATTTTCATCATCAAATAGTGCAGAAGACTGACTTTGGGGATATCTCTCGGTGCAATTGACCCGTTGCATTTCGGCCGTTAGTTCACGTGGTTCGCATAGCTCTGTTCTTGGGTTCTTCATGTGCACGTAGACTTTAGTATAATTGCTGAACCCGAGGCGACATGTGGTCGACTTTATATCCAAGTGCACGACACCACCGCTAGTCACGTTCGAAAACTCATGAAGCGCAGCAGTTGGCTGGATTGAGGTGTCGGTCAGCTCACAGATCGGGAGTGGGACTAAGACGTCTACATCAGTAGACATGCTCGTCACATGCTTCCTTGCGGAACAGTTCTCGCGCAAATCAAATGTCTGATAAGAGAAACCATCCTTTGTTCCAGTGGGATCAGCCATTCCAGCCGCCGAGACACCGAAATATGCATAGATTGGATCTGGCGTAGAAGCGCTTAAGAATTCTTGTTGAGAAGCAAGAGCCTTTCCGGCCCAATCTCTCCCGTCGAGCTTTGTCTTCATGGTGAGCGGATAATATGTGTCTACTAGGGTAGTAGGTGTTGAGACTAAAAGTCCGGTAGAAAAAACCAGGGAAAGTTTTAACAAGAAAAATCCAAAAACGGAAGAGGCCACGGAATGATGACCTGACTTTATAGCTTTGAAGAAGGAGGTCACTCGGAAATCAGAGATGTAATCAAGAACCATACTTTTCGGTGCACTTGCGAGGCCCTTGTTCATCTCATGCCAGGGGTATGCGGCCCTGCAATGATAGTCCACTTGTCGCCAGAGGCCACCCACAATAATCAAAACTGCAGCAGGCGCAGATCTCCAAACATAGTGATTAGAAGTCAGGATAATTTCCAGCCCATTATTACGCTTCACGAAAAGCCAAAGGACAAGGAGCGCAATCCAAAGCAAAGTAAAAAGGATGATGAATCCAAACAGTGTCGATTTCCTGAGCCAAAAGGGGGTCCAGAGAGATGCGTCATTCCCGTGATGAAATGCTCTAGAGCTGGGTCGTTTGGAGAATATCTTTGGGGACGTTATTCGATTGGAGAATAGCAGAGCGTCATCAGTCAGCGCGGGTATAGGCACCGGCATGGGTACGGGTGAGGTTGTGGGTGTGGCTATGGGCGATGGTACGAAATCGTTCAACCCGGGCATGCGACGTGCTTCTTCTTGGCCAAGCACAGATTCCCACAATTCATCGTCGTCGGGATGTGAGAGAGGGGAGGGTCGTAGCGGCGTCAGTTCATAATCAGTCATCTGCTGTTCAGAACGTTCCCCAACAGCTCTATCCCCATCGAAACGCATTTCGACGCAAAACATGAACTGTGCGACAGCTCTTCTTCGAATAATTAGGTGATCACCAACCGAAGTGCTTAGAGCAGCGCACTGGCTGGATGACAAGTAGTTATTTCTGATATATTCGATGTAGGATGAGGGACCATGATGGGTTCGTATCGGAAAAGCCCTCCGATTTTCTATGGAGAGTGTGATTGCGATACACGATAGATCCCAGGTATCAGAGAGGATGGATCTTCAAGAAATGGAATAAAAGCCAGCTGGATTGAGTATTTTTCCCCCGGCCACAGCACGCCTCGCGCGCATGTTCATCTTTCCTTTTGGTTGACAGCACCTGGAAACTGGCTGCTACTGCACATCCTGGCAAATGGGTCAACTGTGATATCCAACTCAAGACTAAGTCGTCTCGGGGGGCTGGAAAAATATAAATCATCTCAGGCCAAGGACGCATAGGCAGCCCTGGGCGCTTTGCCATCCACGTCTCCTGGGACCAATCCCTCCCTGCGCTGGGCGAATCTGAAGTTACTCAGTCACGACATTGGTGCGTTGGCCAATGAGATGGCACGGGACAGTAACAGTGGCTGGATTCCAAGCAAATCGCTGGCAAGGCTTGGACGTAGGATGCATAATTTGGGTCATGGTCCGCATTTTTTCTCATAGAGGAAGGTCGCAGAACAAACGGCGCGTCAATTCTGCGGCTCTTCGCGTATAACTCTTTGCGAAGCGGTAACTCAGTGAGGGCATGCCGTTCTTTGCCTGTGTACGGAGTACAGGAGGTGTTGAAAGAGTAACTCCGTACGATGTGCAAGATCTTCGTGGTGTTGCGGCTAAAATAGGGGCTGGCTTTTTTGTGAGGCTCTGGTTGGCTTTCGGGCAACTTTTGGTTCCCAAGCGCTGGCCGTGGGAAGTGCTTGGCACAACCTTGACAATTCGATGCCCGTCCGTCTATTCAGAGGCCTTCAGGTTTCCAACAGCTCGCTCTCCAGATTATAATCCAAGTCGTGATTGTCTGCTCAAACCAAGGGAGAGACAGTACCGGCCGAACCCATCGCCGCCAAGTTATTCAAAATGAAGCTTCTTTCGAGGGAGCCCCTGGTATGTTGACCTCGGATTGTATTCGACCAGTGTACTGTGCTAGGCCATGAGTATTGGCAACACCCACTTTTCTGCCACCAAAAGGCACCATGATTGTGGCGGGAATTGTCAATATTTATGGCCTAGCACTGTATGTCCTACACCGTTCAACTTAGATTCATATCTTCTTGTGTTGCTCTATTTAAAGATACTTTTCAGCTGTCTACCCTAAGGGCTGTCGACGAAGATTGACAGAATATTACTATAATCTATCCCCAATGATCCTTCTTGCTTTCTATTCATGAATTTTCATCTGTCCTCGGTTGTTTCTTTCAACCTGCGCATGATTAAAGACGGTTAAATAACTCCCACAGTGTTTTGGTGCATACATTGACATGCCTCCTCCCTACAGATCCCAGCAGAGGCAAGATGGGTCCGCCTGATTAAGTCGACATACACGGATCCCGAGGGGGTGACGAGGACATGGGAGTCTGCTGAACGACAGGTACGAAGAATATGTTCCGCTGGCGTTCACTTTTCCAATGTCTTGCCATTTTTCTTTGATTGATTTTTCCTATTTTATCTTTATTTTTTTATTCAAAGGAAATCGAACCATTCTACCTTTTGCCTATGTATGTACTGTACTTCTTGGTCCTATTATGTTCCCCGATGATTTGCCTATGTTTAGGAACATTATGAGAAAATCCGGCATAGGGCAGTAGGGGATATGGCATTACTATTACCTGGCAAACGAAACAGGATCATTCGATCTTCTTGTTAACACCTTTTCCTATCGAGTTCTCAGACCAGGCCTAAAAACTGCCCAATTGATGGCGTCGGCATTGTCACGATTCTATCCAAGCCCTCGGGCCCAGAACTGCTGCTGCAAAAGCAATACAGGCCTCCGATTGACATGGTCGTCATTGAAGTGCCTGCCGGCCTTATTGATGAGGGAGAAACGCCCGAGGAATGCGCTGTGAGGGAACTTAAAGAGGAGACGGGGTATGTAGGCGTTGCGGAAGAGAGGAGCCCAATTATGTATAATGGTAGGCAAATTTGATCTGCATCCCCCCCCTCTCCTCTGGTCATCTCTACAGCACATATCCAAACCTGCGATAATATTTTCATGCCCCCTCTCTACCCGCCCTTAAGATTAACAATGCCCTCTCACATATAATCCCCCTCTAGACCCTGGTTTCTGTAATACCAACCTCAACATGATCCACGTCCGCGTCGACATGACTCTCCCGGAAAACCAAAACCCGCAGCCCCAGCTCGAAGAGAACGAGTTCATCGAGTGCTTCAGCATCCCGCTAGCAACTCTGTATGAGGAATTGAAACGCCTGGAAGCGGAAGGGTATGCGATTGATGCTAGGGTAGGGACGTTGGCGGAGGGTATCGAGTTTGGGAAGAAGTTGGGATAGAATGAAATGTATTCACCATTTCTCATTTCTGTCCATTGAAACTCATTTCCAATTATTTTGGGGTTTGGGGATATTACCCACATACTAGTAAGTATGCATTGGGCATTTATTGTGATTTTGTCCTGACGCGTGACATCACAAAACCTTCCAATGGACGATTTTGCAGAGCTGCCGTTGGCCTGCTCTTCTATTTCATCTTCTCAAAATGCAAAGGATCAATATAAATGATAGATAGACAATGACATTTCGATACTAGAGACTCCTGGTCTAAAGAGCTTCGCTTAATGTGTATAATTTACTTTAGCAGCCAACCATTAATGTGATTTCCAAGTGAAAGACTGTTAGCAAAAAATTATATGATAAAAGCTAGACCTCCTTTGCCCTGCAAAATATAGCAATGACCAGCAGTACATGCTTGTACATGTATATGGACCCTCTTTGAGAGAGGAACAGCCCATCCCCCACCTGCCCGTGTACCACTTACAACATTCCCTCTTCCTTCAGCCCCCAATATAACGCCCAAGCTGCCAACATCTTCCCATCCCGCCACGCCTCCTTCCACACCTCTTCCAACCTTACAATCTTCAACGTAATCTTCTCCCCATCTTTTCTCAACCCCGTCAGTTTCCCCTGTAACTCCTCAATTTCCCTCCTAGGTATGCGTTTCTGACATAAGAAGAGTGGTATGAATTCATCGCATCCGCCTGGTGACGGGTATACACCTGTCTGTAACCTTTCTCCATTTCCATTGGTATCTCTTCTTCCTTCGTTTGCTCCTTCGTCACCTTCCGTTTCTTCACCTGCTTTTTGTTTTCGCCCACTTTTCGGCAAGCTATTGACGAGTGCGGTTAGATCTATAAGTTCGTTCTCTGGTATAATTAGGCCAGTTTCTTCCTGTATTTCTTTCGCTGCACCGCCGGCGAATGTGCCGCTGTCATCAAGCATCCCTGCTGGTATTTCGGGGAAGGCAAGGGAGCCGGCTGGTATACGGGGCTGGATGGTTAGGATGGCATATTTATCGGCTTCAGAGTTTTGGGGGGTATCGCTTGGTTGGAGGATTAGCTACGTATGAACGAGTAGGTTTCGGGTTAGTTTTAATGAGAAAATTGATTGATAGTAGAGCATATCAATGGAGTAAATTTGAATTAGGAATATAATATTCCATATCACACCTCCAAGTTATCATGGGCATATTTTCGTTGATCAAAACCTCTCTTGCTCCAAAACAAATGGTTGAAGAGCATCGTCGAAGACCGTCAAGCACTCACCAACACCCCAACGCTCCCACCTCTCAAAAAGACACTTCCTGGTAGCTTCTCGCCATTATCATTGGAAACATCAGCCTTCAATTTTACGAATCCCAAGCAATTGCCGCCAAAGAAGTCCGCCGCCTGTATCTGTATACTGCGCAAGATATAGGGAGCTGCATGGAATTCATGGGACGGATCAGCCTGTCTGGAAAGCGAGTGTTGTAATGTCGACAACCAGACTTTGAAGGCTGGGAAAGTAAGTAATTGGTCCTGCGAAAGATTGGGTGTTAGGCTAACGAGCAACTGCGGGGTGCTGTTTGGCAGAATGAAGGTCGACATAATCCTCTTGGGGAAGCTAGTTGGGATATGGATGGTTCGTGTGAACCATGTCATGAGAGGAGAAAAAACGAGGTTGGATCGCGCAAACATGAATCACCAAGATTTTCCTGTATCAGAAGAGTTGCAGCTGTTTTCCTGATGATATCATTGCTGAAAAAATTCAAGAACGTGAGCATGATGTGCATGATAAAACGAAATACGCAATTTTGAATCCTTGTCTGAATTTTAAATTGAATCTGCATCATAGACAGATGTTAAATATGCGGGTAGTTAGTGACACAAAGCGGAGCAACTGATAAATACTGTCATAAATACTGTCTTTTTATCATGTAATGATCAGAGTTATCATAGCAAATTCAATATTCTTTCGATATCCAGTATTTGGGTCAATATTCGGACATTCCATCGTTCCGACAACAGTCTATTCCATGACCAAGGACCACCTAGAACTTGATTTGCCTTGGACCAGTTGTTTCCAACACCATCCCTTCCTCCCAAAACTGCTCTTAACCCAACACTTGCAGCATGACAATGATCATGAACTGGGACCATCCAGCGGAAGTGTCATCTGAGTTTGGCGAGAAGCTGGCTCATATTTCTATCGCCCGTCCTACCACTGCAGCTTGCGAGTAAACACCATTCTGACTTGAACAATTCAAGTTTCAAGTTTCACCACCGGAGCTTTCAACATATGCTCCTCTGTCACGTTTGGAGATGGATCGGTGAGGTTTCTTGGTTTCCTGATTTCCCCCCCATTCTGCATTGGAGCCGAGTTCGCTCAGAAACGACTCTCGATGAGGTTGTTGTGACGAACCTTTCTCACTACACCTGGTTTCTTGTGCGGGTTTCTGCGTGGTCACAACGTTGGTTAAAGGCACCTTGCTATCCAAATAACTCAACGACCTTTCTATATCGATTGACTTGAAAAGCCCCTACCGGGGTATAGCTGAAGCGGTGCTGGAACGTTCGAAGGCAACCTTCCAGAGCATTTGTGCAATGCAACGCAAAATGGAGAAATATTGATAAGCGACCTCGGTATGGATGAGCTCATGAGATTGGAAATCTTCCTGCTAAAAAAAAAAAAAAAAAAAATATGAAAATAGGCGTCTTTCAACAACAGCCAACTACTTTTGGGTTCTATAAACTAGTTCCCTAGCAGTTTCTTCATTTGCAAACTAGCACAATGACGCTGTGGAAAAGAAAACAAGCAAGGTGCTTAGAAAAAAAATACTGAAAGATGTCCTTCTGAAGAAAATAAAAGAGAGAGAGGGATAAATAAGGATAGAGATAAAAGCAGAGCATTCAAGATGGAATTGGGTTCCTTTCCACCTCTATTCTGATGATATTTAGCCATCAAATGTCATTCATTCTTCTTGCTCAGATCTTGTAATCATTGGGATTATTGACTGAGAAGTTGCCTATTATGATACCTATGAGGTTTACCTGTGTGGAACTATAGTGGATTCCATTTGAAAGATGAGAAGAATGGGGGTCGGATGTGAATGCCTTAAATACTGATGAGAAAACTGATATACACCCAAGCTCCAAATATATCTTGAGGTCCCCTGATATTGTGAGAACGCGCAGGTGCAGAATGAGAGCCGACAGGTTCACAATATCTATCAGAGATCGTCTGGTGAGAAGTATTCTGAGTGTCTGAGCCTCTAGCTGCCTCCCAACCTTGTACTTGTTCACTTTGTTTACTTATCATACGATCTGTTAGTTTTCGGCTCCCTTGCCCTCCTTTTCCACATCCTCCTCGGGTAACATTCTGGATGAGCTGGATCATGGTGTATGCACCATGCAAGGGAACAACTGTGTGGACATCCGGGATGTCTATTCCAGTGCCTGAGTCCGAAATGCAGACAGTGGCTTTAAGCTGGCGACTTCGAAGTTGATTGATCAGCCTTTCTTTGTCCTGTGCTACTATGTCACCATCATAGAAACGTAACTTCAGAGTTAACGTAATCGATAAGCGAGCGAGCCACATAAGCAAGCGAGCCACTTCCCACCTGCCATACAACAAGAATGCTCTTCAAGTCCTGAATACAACCCAAAATTAACAAACTGATATTATCATATTTCCTGTACGCTTAGAGCATGTACGGGCAGTATGCCCAATAATCCCACATACACTACACTGTGGTGCTGCACGTCTTCGTGGTTGGGACTCAGCAGCCTCAACCACCCCTCTTTCCCTTTTAATTGATGCTTCGTACGCGATCCAAGCCTTCTTCCACCCCCAAAGCTCCCTCTTGGGCTATATATGTACGGCCTCTTTCTCGTTTTCTCTTTTGTTTAGCATTTGTAGCCCTTAACTCCCTATTTTCAGCTGCTAGAATAGCAGCACTATGCATTGCCATTTGACATCCCTTGACCAGCTGATTTAGGGCACGATCAGTTGGGCTGGGTGGGCTCTGCGTACGGTGCTTAATATATCCTTTAACTTTCTTAGTCTGCTGCTCTAGCTGGTGTATATTATGTGGTGTAGCAGTGGCCCAGGAGGCCTGAGAGCTATGAGAGGTCCCAGGTGGGGTGGGGGTATGCATTGTGGTATTAAGGCGCGAGAGAACCTGCTCAGGATTGTATGGAACCAGCCCAGCTGCCCTGAAACTGCTCTTGATGTTGTTCTCAGTCAGAGCCTGCATCTGAGCTGCAGGGATATAGGGCCAGAAACTCCTCCTTTGTCAATATGATTGATCCCAAGCCGCATCTGATCTCCACCTGTCGTCCATATGCAGTCTCAAGGGGGAGAAGCACCCAACATCCAGTGCTGAAGAAGATGAGAGGAATGTGGTGGCATGTAGAGAGCAATGATCTGATTCTCAGAGCAGAATTGATCAAATTCAGCTGAGGCATGGCTTCGGTGCCAGTCTAGAATCAGCAGTCGGTATCTGCCCTTTGTACGGGGTAGAGTCTCCTTGTTGAACACCTCTTTCAGCCAGTACAAGCCCAGCTGGTCAGTGGTCCAGCCATTCTCACTGACTCCAATCACCCAGTCATGCGGCAGCCCTTCAGTCTCATACCAAGAGGACTGATGCATCTTTCCCTTGAGGATAATCATTGTACGGAGAGCCCAGCCCATTGCATTGACCCCAGCAATAACAGTCACCCATTCCCGATCTCCAGGCTGTACAAGCTTGGGATTCCTAGCTCTTTCAGATCCAGTCACCACTCTGACAGTCCCAATAACCCCCATCTGAAAGCCTGTCTTATCAAAGTTGTAGATATCCTCTTCCAGAATCCCATACTTTGCAATGGTGTTTTGTACAAGCTTAAACCACCCACGGATAACCTCAGGATCCTCACATAGTGCACGTTGATGGTCGTACTTGCGGGAGAACTTGGATTTCAGCTCTTCATAGCGATTGACAAAGTTTCGTACCCAGCATTCACCCACTGTGGGTGAGGGGTTGATTCCTCGACTGGCAAGAAGGAGATTGGCCATTTCTCGTACAGCTGCAACCCGGGGTGGCTGACCTCGCTCATCCATGGCTAGAATCCATTGAACAAGTGATTCTTCTTCTGTAAGGCTAAGTTTTCGGTTCTTTGGGGGAATGTCCACGCGTGCTGTACGACCAGAGACACGGTGAGTGAGGGTTGAGCGAGGGACATCATACAGCTTTGCTGCAGCTCGTATGCTTGAAATTTGATCATTTTTAAGTGCTTGAATGGCTAAAAGAAGCCTTCCTTCTTGAGCAGAGACTTTATTTCTTTGAGTGGTTGACATTTTTGTTGAAAAGCATTCTTGTTGTATGGCAGGTGGGAAGTGGCTCGCTTGCTTATGTGGCTCGCTCGCTTATCGATTACGTTACGTTAATTTCCTTAGCAAAGATTTGAACGCAACGTATACTAAGACGACACTAGAGGTTAGCGACATCCTAACTATATAGTTTGAATGTCGACATAACCTCAGCGTCGGAAACCATGATTGCCCTTTTTCACAAAATTCGGATTGACGCAAGGGACACCGATGACTCGACAGCCGTTCGCATTCCGGACATCTACGCCGTCTCGCCTCCTGTCACCGAGTGCGCCTTGTCCCCTAAAGCTTCGTTGGCTTCATGATTGGTCCCAACACCCAAAACACCAGCGCTCCTCTTGGCTCCAAGTTGTTCAGGATCCAGACTGTGGCACATCATTTTTTCTGTGCTTTGTCGCTTCTCTATCTTCTTAAAGACTAAGCGTTCGATAAGCAGTTCAATGGGCGCTTTGGCCCATGTTCTGATTTGTTATATAATCCCTGTTACTGTAAGTTAACTGGCCATATATATTGTGATTCAACCTGCATATGTACTTACTTATGACCTAGACAGGATATGTGATAGCGCTCGTTCAACCACACGTGTTTTGGTTCTCCATCTTTTCCCTGCGACGGACGTGGAAGCTGCTGGTATAAATACGGCCTGCTCGACACAGAAACTCGCATTAAAAGTATCGTCTGTCCTCTAGCCGATATCTTGAGGTATGCCAGCGTTTCGATATCATTATCCATAATACGAAGAATCCCAAGCAACTCCTGCTAAGATATAACAAATATTATTGACCATCGATCGCTCTAAGAACTTCAAGTCTGTTGAACCAGGTCTGAGTAAATACCCTTACTTTTCAATCACAGACAGTCTATAGGTCTCTAGGCAAGACAGTGCTCACCGATTCATTCATCACACATCAACATGTCTTTCTGTCTCCCACCCGAACAATTCGACTTCTCTAGTGTTTATACCGAGTGCTACAGATTAGGCTATAAGAATCAGGTCAAGCGTGGAGAGGTGTACGGTATGCAGAACTAGATCTGAGTGAGATCAAGGTCCTTTTATTCTTTGATTTGATTCATGTTGTGAATGGAAATCTTTTATTTTGTGATAGTTACTGTATCTATCTGACAGGGATTGGATGTTTTCGTGGCTAGCCTAAATGCAAGGGTATTACATTCTTTCGCCTTGAGAGATATTGAGTTTGTGTAGCTAATCCTCTATAAGCCTTTGTGTTCACTATTTTACTCTGTAAGAACATTCTTTTGAATTCAAGGGCAGCCGTGGGATTCGCGAATATGACATTCCTAACTAAATATGTAAAGCGATGCGGCGAAACAGCTGACCACGTGAAACATGAGCGAGACCGCAAAGGACAGCCGTGTTAATATAAGGCAGGGCAAGCTGCTTCACCATCAGTTTTCTAACCTACTGCATCCCCTTCACATCAAATTTGAGATTTCAGCTTTGTTCTCATTCTAACCTGAGCTCATATATATTGTAAGCTCGTGAAAAAACCGTCTATACCATGTCTTGCACTAATTATATTCTGGAAGACGACGATGCATTTGTTGGATATAGGTGGTCCTGGCAGAAATCCACGTACGCTGTGTCAACTCCCTAAATTCTGTGTGAAACGTTATTCTGATGCATTCTTTAAAGTCTTAGATTGAAATGTCGACAATGCAGCTGCCCAAAATTGGGACAATTGCTGGTATAAATGATGCTGGCTCGTATCGTCAAGGCCCTATACCAGGTCTGGGCGGCCCTTTCGAAACAGCTGCTGAGTTTTTCAGGGCATGGTCTGCTAAAGTTAAATGTAGTCTATCGCAGGATCAACTGAAAGAAGCCGCCGGCTCATTCGCCAATGAACTATCAGCCTCCGCCTCATGCTTCAAGCAATTGGTCAACGATTTAGCAGGAGGATTATCCATCCATAACGACGGTCCATTCCCATTATGCCACGGTGATGTCGGTCATAACAACATAATTTTTGACGACAAATACCGCTTACTTGATGTTATTGACTGGGAAGGGGCATTCGCAGGCCCGTGGGAGATATCAGGCGAATTCCCATTGACCCTGTCTATAGTCCCTCCTGTTATGGATGTACCATGGAATTACGATGAGAATGGTCTTCCAAAGGACGCAAAGGATAGGCAGCGACTTGTGGATCGGGAGGAGTACATTGCAATGGTAGCAGATGGAGAGAGACGACGGGGACTGGTAGAGGGATATAGCTTATCATTGGCGTTACGGGATAGTAAACGGCAGTATTTAGCATCTGCCATGAGACTGTACCAAAGAGGTAAGCCAGGGTGGTACTCAAAAGTGATGGAATGTTTTGCATCACTTCCTGAGGTGGCGGATGAATAATGTTAAGCAGGTCCTGATTACCGATTTCCATCGATGTAACTGGATCAGCGACTGATGCATATGTGACCTGGGTCTGTAAAGAGAGACTATCGTACACGACCGGAGAACAGGAGTTAAAACGGGTGCGCGTTGTTTGAATTACAACTACATACCGGAAGGACTAAGTTGTGCATTGCCAGCAGACGAGTCCAAATATATGTTAAGGGAGCTAGTTCCACTTCAAAATTAATGCACAGGGTGTAAAGTAAAAGGCCAAGTATACTCCGTACAGAGGTCGTCATTCCAATGTCTATGCCGCTTAGTGGCTTTCAGTCGGTCTTTCTAGCCTCCGTAGCGAGACCGTCTGACAGAGTGAGATTGAACTTTGTAATAATAGTTGGCTGTGGGAATCCGCATGCGTGATGCCAAGACAAGAGTTGGTTAGAGAGCCGCCGTAAACGGCCTCCGAAGTGCGCTCTTCGGCTGCTAACCGTCACCACAGGGGAATAAAGGTTATATTAGTTAACTATAACTTTAACTATAACTAACTTAAGTTTTTACTAATAACTAAAAAGAAAAAATTCACCGCTAGAAGTAGTGTAGTTTACAGAAACTAAGAGATTAATATGTATTTTTAATAGAAAGCTTTGTATTACGATATTCTCTATATTCAAATTTCTTTATCACCTCATTATAATATCTATATCTCATAATGTATTGAAGATCATAGGTACTCTGTATAATGTGCACCCATCCAAAAGATACAAGTTAACATTGTATGGTGTGGCGATTAAGCGAAGACATGACTAAATCTGCTATGTACAGTGGGGGAGTTATACGTACAATTAGCGGCTCGGCGCGTCAACCCATATTATTATCCCTGGTTTCAACCTGCATTTCTTTGCCACCAACCCCCTGATATCCATGCTAGCTTTTTAAAAAATGCCAGGCAGAGGTCCAAATGTCACTCACATCATTATTCAACATATTCTTCTATTATATGAGCAGAATTGTACATTCTCATCTATTGTCTTCAGTTTGAAGATACCCCACTCTACTATTTCCTCTATTATCTATTATGAAATGTATTGAAAGAATTCTTTAATCAGTTTTAAAAAGAAATTTGACAAATCTTCTAAACTCTCTGTTTATGATGAATGCTGACTAATACACACTGTGGATCAAAATCCATTTGATTCTTTCATATCATTTCAATCATTTTTAAAGTTTACTCATTTTCTTACCATCAAAACTATTCAATTATATTTCAAGAAGAATAACAGAAATATCATTCAATCTTGTTCAAAACCCTTTCTAAAATCTCTACACAAGTAAAATCAGTGGAAATTCTGTTATGATCATGAGAATTGACATTTATAAGATTGAACCTGTGCAAGCTTTT